GCTCATGATGTTGATCACTGGATTGTCTGGTCTAGACTCTGGTTACAGACCGCCGCCATATAGCTGGTATATTGCTGTATGCGGCGTAAAACTAAACACACTCACTCACAGTCCCTGAACTGTATTATTTTCCCTTCCGTCCAGCCTTTTTCTTCAGTGTCAACGCCCTTTAAAAGCAAAAGCAAGTCTAGATTTTCCCAGGTTCGGAATCTTCCATCGCAATGGGGCGCCTTTTCAATTTAAAATGAGTTATTTGTTTCTATGAAAATTATATACATTCAGAGACAAAGTGTCTGTCTGCTATATACCGAAGGCAAACAGTCATTAATACCGAAGGCGAACAGTCATTAACATACCGGTATAAGCCTTTGAAGCGTTTAATCAGATTTTGATTAGAAACGTCACGTCTCCAGGTTCATATTCCCTGCTAATGGTGGTGGTGGTGGAATTGGGTTTAACGTCGTGCTTGAGAATATTTCGCTCATATGACGACGTGCATGCGTGTGTATGTGTATGTGCGGTTGCTTGTACTAGCCCAGACTGAAGCTGGTTTTATAGTGCTAGCCCACTGAGATACCATGCCGCAGTGAAGCATGAATATCCCACTCAGACACATTATACTGACTCCGAGCCGACCAGTCCTTGTTGTACCCATTAATGCCGAGCGCCAGGCAGGGACCAACAAGTACCATATTTTAACGTCTTTTGGTAGGACTCGGTCTCCCTGCTAATGATGACGGATAAGTAGACTATTAAGTTACCATCACTTATCAGTTTCTACCTTGGCAGCATGCTTCTGGTGCCAGTGTGTTCCACTGATGCCGTCCTATAAGTTCTTAGCTTCACATACTGTACTACGTGCGCTCTTCCTACTCGGAAACACGTGAAATTGAAACTTTGCAACCTCTGGGCAAAAGTAGTAGATTCTTTGAAATTGGATTTGGCCAAAAATGCAAACGCTATCAAAATGTTACTAGGCTGAAAATGGTCAGCGAAACGATCCAAACATAATTCTACCATGACTTCAGTAAATACTGGATTGTGATTGGTTAATCAAAGTCATTCAGAGGTATATAATCGACACTATGTATTTTGTTATAAGTCTTAATAACGCGGCTATGGTCGAAAGGAGATAAACATACTGTGTTGGAAGATCAGAGGTATATAACGAAATTATAATAGCTCAAAATTTGATTTAAAACCGAACGCGTAGCGTTTTGAAATCAAATTTAGAGCTATTATAATTTCGTTACACACCTTTGAGTTTGAGTATGTTTATCTCCTTATTATGTCCGTACACAATACGTCACCGTCGAATAACCGTTTCTGTTGGATTTCTTTTCATTTATAACCACTATCAAATATAGATATAAACTTTTTTGTCCGGCTTTTTATATGTAATAAAAGTGATATATCTTCCTTGTATATAGTGTAAATAATGATTATATTAGAGGTTTTCTTGTTTTCTGCAAGTCCCTTCTAAGAGCTACCCTACGTTCACTAATAAAAGCAATGCATAGTTTGTAATTAATATTTATTTTCTGTTGCATACAAAGTCAGATACCCAGTGTAGTGCTTGGCCCAACTCAGATGAGAAAAGATGTAGACAACTTTTGATAACACAAGCAAGATTATACCTGAGTTCAAAAAGAAATTTTATGCATAACAATTCTGTTAGTCAGGTTCATATTAGAGGAATGATATTGTGGACTTTTATACATTCAACACTGACACAGACACTCATTCACACTCAGATTCACTCACATTCTGCACTCAGCCATAATTTTTTTTAATATAGTGAGTGAGTGAGTGAGTGAGTGAGTTTGGTTTTACGCCCCTTTTAGCAATATTTCAGCAACATCATGGCGGGGGACACCAGAACACATTGTACCCATGTGGTGAATCGAACCCGGGTCTTCGGCGTGACGAGCGAACGCTTTACCCACTAGGCTTACCCACCGGCCCGGTTTAATATAGTCACTGGAAAACAAATTTAAGTAACTCAAGAATTATAAGATTAAGTTAATTTCAATTATTACTTACAAACTCAAGAGGGCGGTGGGGTAGCCTAGTAGTTAAAGCGTCCGCTCGTCACGCTGAATACCCGGGTTCGATTCCCCACATGGGTAAAATGTGTGAAGACCATTTCTGGTGTCACCCGCCGTGATATTGCTGGAATATTGCTAAAAGCGGCATAAAATCATACTCCCTCCCTTCCTCTCTATTAAATCAAGATCCCAGAGCTTTAGATCTACATCCACCTTGCAAATACCTTCTGACAGCTCCCCATCGCTGACTAATATCCATTATGTCAGCAATACTGGATGTCGTCGATCTGCCATAAAACAGGACACCACAAGCAACAAAGTAATATCTTTTTACGAGCCTAATCCCACACAAATATTGATACCCACGCGTTTATGTGTACACTGCTCTCAAAATCGTTCACAACAATAGCCGGACAATTATTTTCACTATAGATAGATACCAATAGCATGTCATCAAATACCTCACGTAACTACTGTGAGTCTATTGTTCAGGGAACACGACTATTGGTCAAGTGCCTCGTGGTAGAGCGTCCCTGGTAGTACCACGACCTTGGGATGTCTGACTGACATCCATATCCATCGATATGGTCTCGATCGATATTTATCAATTGATTTTGATGCATTGTCGTTGTGAAGTGTCTACTTTATGTTTTCGTTCAGTGTTCGATACCTTCCGTATTCATGTTTTACAAATACATTTTGTTGCTTTTTTTACAAAGTAATTATTAAGCGTTGGCGGCCTATTGTTAAACTAATAGCACACAGCAGCTAAAATTGTATATAGTGAACAATAGTAATATTTTTTTAAGTAATCGTCAATAAGTGCCCGTATCCCATACTACTCAAAACAAGATAAAGATCACCTGTAATTTGTGTGAGTGAGTGAGTGAGTATAGTTTTACGCCGCTTTTAGCAATATTTCAGCAACATCACGGCGGGGGACACCAGAAATGGGCTTCACATATTGTACCCATGATTTAACAGACTAACTAAAGTCCTCAGTGTACGAAAAACGAAACCTACCTGGAGGCCCGTGGCAGGTAGATTTCGTGCCGGACCAGTAGTAAATAAGTACTATGAGTCCTCATGGCCTGGGGTACATTTCCTGTCAATATATTTGTCAAAATAAGCTGCAGTCTTTTGATAACTTAGGGCTTGAAGAGTTTAACCAGGGACAGCAGCTGTGGGGTCCTGACTCCAGTCTGGAAATCGTATTTATTTAAAACACTGTTAGTTATGTGACAAAGGTTGTTGTTCTTTACTTGTTTTGAGTGGTATACTGGTATATTCACCAATGCATGCCTGTAACTAGTGTGGTTGTGGAACGTGTCAATATTCCGGCAACTAATGGCATAAGGCCATTTGTAACTCAACAAACGAGCTGTACTCCGTGCACGGACTTTGTGCGAACCATTGCCTGGCACTGACGCGGATACCACTAGGTAGTCAGTGAGTGTGTATGGTTTTACGCCACTTTTCGCAATATTCCAGCAAGATCACGGCGGGGGACACAAGAAATGGTCTTCACACATTGTACCCATTTGGGGAATCGAATCCGGGTCTTCAGCGTGACGAGCGAACGCTTTAACCACTAGGCTACCCCACCGTCCCATACCACAAGGTAGAATACATACAATTTTGATAGAAACCAATAATTCCATATAAATTTAAAAGGAGCAAGAGTGAGATTTAAGATTCCGAACTGGGGCAATTCTAGATTTGTTTCATTTAGGGCTTTTGCATTGCAGAAAGAACTCGTTAAAAGGGAAAATTATGTGGTTCAGGGACTGTGACTATTTAAGCCACCCTGACACTTGCATGAATTTTGCCTCCGCCTTGCTGCGCAATTTAAGTTGTCGTGGCAATACGTGTAATTTAGATGGTTCTCATAAAAGCGTGAAGCCTAGTTTGCGCACTGTTCGCGTCCTGTTTACGAATACGTTTCGCACTTGGCACGCAATGCGTGACCGAAAATGGCGCGCATTGTCACGCAATGGCACGCACGACATATTTACGTCTTGGTCAAGTATTGTTGCGCATTGTTTACGTCTTGTTTACGGCATGGTACGCACGACGCGCATTGTTCCAGTATGGGCATGTATTGCCACAACCACTTCGCGCATGCGTGAAGCAGTCGTGGTATTATTTTTGCTCCCGCTTTGTCCCGCTTGACGCCACGCTATATAAGATAGCAGGCATCACGCCTAGCTTCACGTATTCCTCGACTTGCTGTGGACCTACAAGATGTTGAACACCAGAGAACAAGCTCTTATTGCAGATAAGAAAAGGTGTCTATATCTCGCAGGTGCAGCACTATTACGTCTTGAAGACAAGCAAATGCAGCAAGAGCAGTCCAAAGAAGAAACGTAACCCAACTAGAAACATGAAAACAAGGACAGTGTGGGTGAGGGGATGGTTGACTAGAAGACATCACTTCGGGCATGATGATCAGTTATTAACAAAAGTCCACAAGGAAGACCCAAGAGGCTGCAGAAGTTACCTGAGAATTTTCCCCGACTTCAATCTTGAAAAGAGACGAGAGAACCGCTGGAGGTGGGACTCAAGCTGGCAACCACTCTTCGCTTCCCATTCGTAAATACTGGTTTCATTCCGGCAAGCCGGATGGCGTCTCGTACCTCTCTCGTGGCCATGTTTACGACTAGGCCCTGTCTAAGCGCTAGTACCAAGGAAAGATAACTCTGAATTTCCAAACATGGCTACGCCAAGAATATCCTATAGCTATATCCCGTGGACAAAACAACTATACAGTCATTCCCTTTGTAAGTATGTTTCAGTGTTGAAAGTTGCTGATCCTTTAGCTCAACGTTTATGTTTAAATTGTGCTTTGCATAGTTAACGAAGTTTCAAAGTTCAACAGTGCCGCCATTTTCATGCTTCGAAATGTGTTTTACTATGCGCGATTTGATTGGTTTGCCACGATTGTTGGCAATAATGGCGCACGGTAGGGGTACGAGTCTTTTTGTAGGTCACGGAAAGAGGCGAGTAGTTACGAATGTTCGCTTCCTAGCCACTGGTAATTCCTATGCAAGTCTACAGTACAGCTTCAGAGTTGAAGTTAGTTCAATCTGCCAGTTCTTACCAGAGGTCTGCAAAGCCACCATTGAGGTCTACAAGCACGAAGTATTCAGGTACAGCAAAACTGAAGAGGAGCGGAAGGAGGTTGCTGAAAGTTTTAGTTCCAGATGGAACTACCACAACTGTCTGGGGGCTGTGGACGGCGGTGATCGGAAACAGTGTCATAGGAAAAAAAGTCATGGGAAAAATTAAGATCTCCTGCAAGCTGTGGTGGACAAGTGTGCAGGACTCAGTCTGGCACTGAATATAGAAACTATTGTTACAGTCTTTGAAGACTATTCTCCGCGCCATTGTGGCTCTGTTTGGGCGTGATGTTCAGTCATGTGGTTGTTTCTGTCATTTTACGCAAGCTACTTGGTGTGAAATCCAGAGTCTTGGTCTTACAAGTTTTTGCACGGAGGATGCTGACTTTCGTTTACTCTATGGTATGTTGGACGGGTTAGCTTTCCTAACTACTGACGATCTTAAAGTGTGGAATGTCCACTCTGCCACACTTTCCAACGAAGCAAGGACAAATAATATATGTGAAGGCTGGAACAATAAGTCTTTTAACCACCTGGGACACCAGCATCCTTCCATTTGGCGTACGACATTTTTCTTATTTTTCCTACATTCAAACACAAACACGTTGCTATAGAGAAGCCAGCCAAAGCTGGGTCATGTTACTACAATTATAAGGGCTTCCACGGCATTGTACCCATGGCCCATGTAGATGCTGGTTACAAGTTCGTGTATGTTGATGTTGGGGCAGAGGGTGGTGCTTCAGGTGTAGGAACATGGAAGAACTGTACTTTGCATGAAGCTGTCGATGACAACCAAGCCGGACTGCCTGGACCAACTCCACTCCCTAATGATGATAAGCCTGTACCATATCATTTCGTAGCCGATGAAGCATTTGCACTCAGAACTTGGCTGATCAAACCATTCTCTCATCGCTCCCAGATTCACCGAGAAATTATCTATGGTCCTGCTCTTCCTCTGGTTGTCTTCTTCTTCTTGGCAGGCATCTTGTAGATTGTTTGCTCTCGAGATGAGGAATGTGGGGGACGGGCGATGGGCACGCTTTTATATACGCACTGCAGAGTGCGTATATCGTCGCTGATTCGGGCATCAATAATGCGTGAAGTATGCGTGCCCAATTGCGTATCGATTTCAAAAAGTTTACGTGCCTGTGCAAACTATGCGGGAGGTGAGGTGAGGTGAGGTGAAATTGGGTTTAACGTCGTGCTTGAGAATATTTCGCTCATATGACGACGTGCATGCGTGTATATGTGTATGTGCGGCTGCTGGTTTTATAGTGCTAGCTCACTGAGATACCATGCCGCAGTGAAGCATGAATATCCCACTCAGACACATTATACTGACTCCGAGCCGACCAGTCCTTGTTGTACCCTTTAATGCCGAGCACCAGGCAGGGACCAACAAGTACCATATTTTAACGTCTTTTGGTATGACGTGGTCGGGGATCGAACCCGCGATCTTCCACTCTCCGGGCGGACGCAAACTATGCGGGAACACGTCATGCCCGCCCTCCCGTCCGTTTCACGATAATTAAGAAGGCGGAAACGTTGCGCGGGCTAATGCGCTACACTGCGTGTCAATGCGCAGGGCCGGAAATTGACACGCTTTGATGCGCACCGCCCGCAGTGAGTGAGTGAGTGAGTTGGGTTTTACGCCGCTTTTAGCAATATTCCAGCAATATCACGGCGGGGGACACCAGAAATGGGCTTCACACAATGTGCCCATGTGGGGAATCGAACCCGGGCCTTCGGCGTGACGAGCGAAAGCTTTAACCACTGGGCTACCCCACCGCCCCCCGCCCGCAGTGTTTGCGAATAGCTGGCGCAATGTTCACGGCCAGTTCATGCAAGTGGCAGGAAGAGTATGCGTACCAGAATTTTTGAACATTTCAAATTTTTTCTTTGCGCACTGGCACGCGGCCCCGCACAGTTTATGCACCCTTCACAACAGTTTAGGGCGAATTTACTCATTGTTATGCAAAATTGCGTACCAATATTTGACAGAAACCTAGTTCCACTCAATGACAACAATGCTACAAAAGGACTATCCGTGACCTAAATAATGTTTAAATTGTGTTGTTTACGGAAGGAACGCCAGTACCGCCGAACATTCGAATAAGTCGATCCGGCACCCGTGCGATATGGAAATCAGAGTGCAATACAAAATTGATCTAAGCTCGCTATATTGCACGGCTGTGTTGCTATCGCAAGATCAAACGGGTGTGTAATGGGTATATGTCCAGTAAATGAGTCTGGACCAGGCAATCTAGTGATCAGCAGCATGAGCATCGATCTTCGCAATTGGGATACGACGAATGAATGAGTGAGTGAAATCCCCACGTGATAAAGACCTGAAATGTTTACCACTTTTGTGAAAGCCCATCTGCTCTGGTATGGCGCTGACCAGAACCATAAGATTCGACTGAAACAGGCTCCTTGACTGGATTGATTCTGTTCCCTCGGACTCCGATGGTGTGGGTCACTGCATATTCCACATGCTCTTGGTCAATGGTTTGTCTGGTCCAGATTCGACCAGGCAACATATAGAGCTGATACTAATGCTCATTGATTGATTGTTGTTTAACGCCGCACTCAGCAATATTCCAGCTATATGACGGCGGACTGTAAATAATCGAGTCTGGACCAGACAATCCAGTGATCACCTTCATGAGCATCGACCTTCGCAATTGGGATACAATGACATGTGTCAACCAAGTCAGCGAGCCTGACCACCCGATCCCGTTAGTCGCCTCTTACTAGCATGGGTTATTGAAGACCAATTCTAACCCGGATCTTCACAGGTCGGCACACATTATAGAGCTGGAATACTGATGAAGAAGCGGCATTCACTCACTAGCTCAATATGATCACGGAACATGGAATACGATTTCTCAGGTTGCTACTGAGGATTCAATCGTTTTTTCCTCATGGTAGCGAGTGAGAAAATTTTATTGACAAGATTCATGTGAAACTGTAAATAACTGTATTTCTATATTTCAACTGACATTGATCATCACCCAAACCCGAACAAACGTCACAGAACTATTTTTTCAATCCAAAAAGAAATCGTGACGAGATTTTCGGTGTTTATCTGCCATGCTGCAGGCGCTCAGTACAGCCTCTGACATTTTCAAAACACAGAAAAACTTGAAATTACTTCCACTATTTGCAACACGCATGTCTTGTCAAATACTTGTCGTTTTTAAAATAATCATTCTGCAAAAAGTCGAAATATTCAGAGATTTCCCGTCAAATTTTGTGCGAACATTTTATTTCATAATGTGAGAAAGAAATGAAACAAGAAAAAGAGTTGCAAAGATGTCCTTTCAAGCATACATGATGGTAATTCCTTTCCGACTTCAAGTCTGTGACTCGTCCTATTATACAGTTGATCAATGGTCGATAGGAAGAGGTGCGCTGCCGCTCCAAAACTGGGCCTGCTGTCGCTTTACGTCGCCCGAAGGCCCAATGACTTGTTGGCTGCTCAGAAATCGCTTCTTGAAATGAAACACGGCGTTTTCCGGACCTGGTAGAAATTTTTGTTAATTGCTGCAGTATCTTTGATGTTAACGGTATCTCATGGAACATCGCGCGCCATGCTCTTTTGTGAAAAAAACCCCATTGTTTTAAATCAAAGCCAGAAATATAACGTTTAAGAGGCACCCTCACCATTATTTCCTTCCCGTCATGCATTTCGTTTGATTTTTTCGGTACGAATGGGACTTTGATGCCCTATCACTCACTCGGGGATTAAATTTGTGTGACTGATACGTTATTAATAGCAAAAATAGCGTTTGATATTAGGCCTATATTAATATTTTCTTTCCAATAGGGCTTCCAATAAACTGAAACAAAAGTGACACTGCAGTCAATACGATCTCTGAACCGATATTTCAGGAATAACGCGATGGCGACTGAACATAGTTCCCAGACGGTTGTACGGCTGGAACTAATCAGGGAGGTGTAAAGGGTGTACGTCACAATCTCCACGACAGGCTTTGGTAATTACTTTTCATATTAGTGAGTATGAGTGAGTGTGGTTGTACGCCGTTTTTAGCAACATTACGGCGGGGGACACCAGAGTGAGTAAGTAAGGTTATACGCTGCTTTTAGCAATATTCCAGCAATATCACGGAGGGGGGCATCAGAAATGGGCTTCACACATTGTACCCATGTGGGAAATCGAACCCTGGTCTTCAGCGTGACGAGAGAACGCTTTAACCACTAGGCTACCCCCCCCCCCCCCTCTCAATCCTGACATTAACATACACGCATGCACACACATACACACACACACGCATGCACGCACACACACACACTTCTACTACTACTACCTCGTCGCCATCTCAATCCCGACATTAACACACGCGTGCGCGCACACACACACGCACGCACGCACGCACGCACGCACGCACACCACTCCATCCCATCCACAACAATGATCGAACGTATTGATTCTCACGTACGCCACATGATTAAAACCCCTTTAGAGCACCTAATCCATATATGAAGTGTTTCCATCCAGATCAATTCTCCATTGTTTCTCTTGTGTACTTGTATCGGCATCTTCTCGACACAGTGTCAGTGTGAATATTGAAACTACATATATTCCTGTTCTTAAATTGACTTGCACAATAATCCCAGGAAAATATTTGAATCAGACTATTTGCAGAATATTTTACTTACATCACGAACATTTGTATTGACCTATCAAACTGGGGGATTAAGTGCAGTTCCTTTACCCTACAGATTAAACACAATGATTATACATATATACTCGATCAATGTAACCTTCAATGTACATCCGTGTATCAAGTATTGGTTAACTGCGCATCGTTGTGCGCAGATGCGCGCCATGTTGTTTTTCGATTCCTACAACTGTCATGCATAGGAAGATGGTAAGGTTTCCATGCATCAGAATCCTGTGATCCTCAAAAGACTTGAAATGGCATCTGGGGAAATTTCTTTGATTTTCTATAAAAAATGTTAATCATGTGCCGACTGTAAAGAGTAAGATCTGTTTCAATCACCGAGTCTGCTTTGAGAAGCAAGTTAAGAGTGCATCTGTAATGTTGTACGTCCCAAGAGTTGGGTGGTAATGTGTAAAACTTCCAGCTCAAGCTGATGCCAGTCTCAGAGAAATTACATTGCATTGAATGATGGGTGGTGGTTTTTCCGCACTAAAAACAAAACAACCATTCAACGAATTACATCGTTCAGTGAAACATTGAATAATACATGAAGGACGAAATCTGCGTGCTGCAGAAGATGGTGCGTCCGTAATGACGACGAAACTGTCGCTGTTGCAGGAGTGGAGCCATGTGACCAAACGCTTGCATGTGGTGAACTTAAAAACAACCTCGTCTTATTACAGCTGGTGAAAGTAATAGAAGAGAGCATGACGATCCGGGCTAGAATTGATCTTCAGCAACCCATATTTGTCGTAAGAGGCGACTAACGGGATCGGGTGGTCAGGCTCGCTGACTTGGTTGACACATGTCATCGGTTCCCAATTGTGCAGATCGATGCTCATGCTGTTGATCACTGGATTGTCTGGTTCAGACTCGATTATTTACAGACCGACGCCATATAGCTGGAATATTGCTGAGTGCGGCGTAAAACTAAACTCACTCACTTTCTCTCTCCCCCTCTCTCCAGTCGGAGAGTCCAGACGGTACCCGCGGTGTCCGAGACGCTGGGTCAGATCCCTCCCATGTTATCAGTCATGTCAAGCGTGGGTCCAGTGTGGAGACGATGAGACGCTGCGCTGTATGGAGATCATGCTCGTGGTCGTGTACTCCTGGCCGTCTGCTGCTTCCCTGTCAAAGAGTTTAGGCTCTGAGAGCAGACGACTGAATTAAACATGACCACAGAGCTCAAACAGGTCCAACAGACCCAGCCGTGAATGACAGAGGTTAGCTTGTGGTCAACTTTCGTAAACCTATGATTTGTTTGTGCAGTCTTTGGGTCAAAGTTGAAGTTCCGGACTCGTGTTTGATGACTACTAATTGGTACATATTAGACTGTAGCATCAAGTGTCTAGATTGTCAATCTGAGGCCAAGCAACATCATCCCTGTCATCGCTTGTACCCGATAATCATATTCATTGTCGTTTTTGTCTGAATAATCATATTCATTGTCGTATCGATTATTTTGATAATCCTCATTATCATGGATAATTATATTCTTCATTGATCAGCCAGCATAATCATATTCATCGTATTCAAATGTTCTTCGCCAGTCTAATCTGTTTGTTAAATGCTTGTCCCTCCTCTAGGCAGAAACAGATTCTTCGTCGAATTCATCATCTGTATAAACAGATTCATGGTCGTATTCACTATCTGTATAAACAGATCCATCGTCGTATTCACTATCTGTATAAACAGATTCATTATCGAATTCATCATCTGTATAAACAGATCCATCGTCGTATTCACTATCTGTATAAACAGATTCATTATCGAATTCATCATTTGTATTAACAGATCCATCGTCGTATTCACTATCTGTATAAACAGATTCATTATCGAATTCATCATCTGTATAAACAGATTCATTATCGAATTCATCATCTGTATAAACAGATCCATCGTCGTATTCACTATCTGTATAAACAGATTCATTATCGAATTCATCATCTGTATAAACAGATCCATCGTTGTATTCACTATCTGTATAAACAGATTCATTATCGAATTCATCATCTGTATAAACAGATCCATCGTCGTATTCATCATCTGTATAAACAGATTCATTATCGAATTCATCATCTGTATAAACAGATTCATTGTCGAATTCATCATCTGTATTAAAACAGATTCATTATCGAATTCATCATCTGTATTAACAGATCCATCGTCGTATTCACTATCTGTATAAACAGATTCATTATCGAATTCATCATCTGTATAAACAGATTCATTATCGAATTCATCATCTGTATAAACAGATCCATCGTCGCATTCATCATCTGCATTAACAGATCCATCGTCGTATTCATCATCTGCATTAACAGATCCATCGTCGTATTCATCATCTGCATTAACAGATCCATCGTCGTATTCATCATCTGTATTAACAGATCCATCGTCGTATTCATCATCTGTATTAACAGATCCATCGTCGTATTCATCATCTGTATTAACAGATTCATCGTCACATTCATCATCTGCATTAACAGATCCATCGTCGTATTCATCATCTGCATTAACAGATCCATCGTCGTATTCATCATCTGCATTAACAGATCCATCGTCGTATTCATCATCTGTATTAACAGATCCATCGTCGTATTCATCATCTGTATTAACAGATCCATCGTCACATTCATCATCTGCATTAACAGATCCATCGTCACATTCATCATCTGTATAAACAGATCCATCGTCACATTCATCATCTGCATTAACAGATCGTCATTCGTCACATTCATCATATGTATAAACGGCTGTATAAACAGATTCATTCATCGTATAAACAGCTCATTGTATTCATCATCTGTATAAACAGATTCATTGTCGCATTCATCATCATCTCGTATTCATCATCTGTATAAACAGATTCATTGTCGTATTCATCATCTGTATAAACAGATTCATTGTCGCATTTATCATCTGTATCATCTGTATTCATCATCTGTACAGATTCATTGTCATTCATCATCTGTATTCATCATCTGTATAAACAGATTCATTGTCGATCATTCATCATCTGTATAATAAACAGATTCATTGTCGTATTTATCATCTGAGATTCATCGTCATTCATCATCTGTATAAACAGATTCATTGTCGTATTCATCATCTGTATTCAACAGATCCATTCGTCGACATTCATCATCTGTATAACAGATTTCATCATCGTGTATGTATAAACAGATTCATTCATCATCTGTATATAACAGATTCATTGTCGTATTCATCATCTGTATAAACAGATTCATTGTCGTATTTATCATCTGTATTAAAATAAACAGATTCATTGTCGTATTCATCTGCATTAACAGCTACAAATACATCGTCACATTCATCATCTGTATAAACAGATTCATTGTCGCATTCATCATCTGTATAAACAGATTCATCGTCGTATTCATCATCTGTATAAACAGATTCATCGTCGTATTTATCATCTGTATAAACAGATTCATTGTCGCATTCATCATCTTTACAAACAGATCCATTGTCGCAAACATCATCTGCATTAACAGATCCGTCGTCGTATTCATTATCTGCACAAACAGATCAATGGTCGAATTCATCATCAAACGTAATCGCATGCAACATGCACGGACTATATTGTATTCATCATCTTCAAAATGAGATCCATTGTATTCATCATCGGTGTAGCGCACAACAGCGGGCGAGAGGATTCTCGTGCCGATACCAAATGAGGAAAATACATACCCGCAGACACTGTCCGACCAAATGTGGAAAATACATACACGCAGACACTGTCCGACCAAATGTGGAAAATACATACACGCAGACACTGTCCGACCAAATGTGGAAAATACATACACGCAGACACTGTCCGACCAAATGAACAGCGGCAGGCAGGTTAACAACAAGTAACTTCTTTTAGGTGAGGTGAAATTGGGTTTTACGTCGTGCTTGAGAATATTTCGCTCATATGACGACATGCATGCGTGTGTATGTGTATGTGCGGCTGCTTGTACTAGTCCAGACTGAAGCTGGTTTTATAGTGCTGGCCGACTGAGGAGATACGATGCCGCAGTGAAGCATGAATACCCCACCCAGACACATTATACTGACTCCGAGCCGACCAGTCCTTGTTGTACCCATTAATGCCGAGCGCCAGGCAGGGACCAACAAGTACCATATTTTAACGTCTTTTGGTATGACGCGGTCGGGGATCGAACCCGCGACCTTCCGCTCTCCGGGCGGACGCTCTAACCACAACACCACGGAGGCGGTCAGTAACTTCTTTTAACAACCTTCGGTAAATCGCGGTCAGTGGATCTAACCTCCGACCTTCGGCAGACACTTTATCCACAAGACCATGGAACCAGCCAACTGCTGCGTAAACACACACGCAGAAACACTAACGTACGCACGCACGCACACACACACACACACACACACACACACACGCAAACGCACACAGTAAGACACAGTCACATCCGCATCTTCCAGCACGAGGAAACGACACAGGCAGCGACGTCACCGATACAGCAAATGTTTGTCCATCTTGCCCTGGAGGATCTAAAACAGCTTTTACATTTTGTTTGCAGCTTTATAAGTCTTCGTAACTTTTTATGGCAGGTTTAAATAACATTACCCCATGTGTAGTACGTCATTTTACTCAAAACGGCAAATAAACAAATTGAAGCTTTATCGATACTACAACCATGAAACGACTATTGGCGCAACGTGACGCTGGGTTATTGAGTAGGCTGGATCCTAACTGTCCCCGGCGACTGCTGGCGACTGCTAGCGACGAAAGTTCACTGTTGATGGGCAGTTGATTAATCTAGGTTATCTCCCTTTGCAATATCAATTTCCCGTAAGTCATCAACGCCGAAGCATTTAATTTATAGCCGAAACACGCCGATTCACACAATCGTTTCACACGCAAAATTTTGATAGAGTGCAAAAACCACTCTACATAATTGGAAAGCATTGCATAGAACATGCATAAAACGGCAGTTAATCTCCTTCTGCAAATCCCACAGCGAGAAGGTCGAATGAGAAATCACAGTTGCGTTTTTGCGATCCTTACCATCAGTTTGTTTTAAAGTATTACGATCACAAGTGAAAGTGTTGTTTGGTTCGTTTGTTGTTTGCCGCCGCACTCAACAATTTCCCAGCTACGTCACCGCGATCTGTAAATCATCGAGTCTGGACCAGACAATACAGTGATTGCTATCATGATCATCGATCTATACCAGTGACCACCGGAGCCCGTTAGTTGCCTCTTACGACATTCTTGGGTTGCCGAAGACCAATTCTGTTCCTATTTCCTCACGGGACCAGTGATACAAAATATAATCTTACTGCAGTCTTTTCAGTATTTTTATAGTCCTGTACGTGGTCCATTTTGTGAAAAAATGTAAATTATCTTGCCATGTATTTACTATATTAAACACACCTACTAGGATGTTATGTATAATACATTTTTAATGTATAGTTTCGCAGTTGATATCTCCCCTGAAATGGAATTTTTCGCCTTTATCTTTCTTCTCATCATGACATGATCTTTTTTTCAAATGCGCAGATGTAAATGTGAGTGAGTGAGTTTAGTTTTACGCTATATGACGGCGGTCTGTAAATAATCGAGTCTTGACCAGACAATCCAGTGATCAACAGTATGAACATCAATCTACGCAATTGGGATACGATGACATGTGTCAACCAAGTCAGCGAGCCTGACCACCCGATCCCGTTAGTCGCCTCTTACGACAAGCATGGGTTACTGAAGATCAATTCTAACCCGGATCTTCACTGGTACCTGACCACCCGATCCCGTTAATCGCCTCTTACGGCAAGCATGGGTTACTGAAGATCAATTCTAACCCGGACCTTCACGGGTACCTGACAACCCGATCCCGTTAGTCGCCTCTTACGACAAGCATGGGTTACTGAAGATCAATTCTAACCCGGATCTTCACGGGTACCTGACCACCCGATCCCGTTAGTCGCCTCTTACGACAAGCATGGGTTACTGAAGATCAATTCTAACCCGGATAGTTAGTCTTAGTGAACAAGCCTGACAATCCGATCCCGTTAGTCGTTATTTCACGATAGGTATTGGTTGATGAAGACCAATTCTAAATACAGACCTTCACCGGACTTGACCCTCTGAATGTCGAATTTATACCTAAGATCTGAAAAGTGAACCCTTTAACCCATGGGCTACCCCATCGCCCCAATGTAGATTTAAAAATAGACACTGTTAAGTGTTATCCGAAATTTTGATAAGCATTAAGGAACCGAAAAATAAGTCAATGCGAATCTTTATGGAATCTGTGAGCGAACAAAATATCTGAACGACATAAATATGTATAAATGGATGTGTATGCTTATATATGACGCTATACATTCACTGTGAAAAATTGCTTCCCCATAAATGGCGAAAATTCATTTTCCTCTTTGACGTCACAAGACAACATGGAGGTTACTCACGCGTAAAGAGGGGGGAAATAACTCATCTATGTTTAGCACTCGGTCATTGTAACCCAGGGCACTTGGTGAGAATTTGTTGGGGATATGAACATATCTTTTCATGACGTTGACTTGACGAGGAACCAGCCCATTCCAAACAAAGGTCCTCATTTTAACCGGACACATTTGTAACAAAAACCCAATAAGAATGAAGAAATCGTACTATATGAAAAAGAAAGAATTAGCGAAATGGATGGCCTCAATCTAATATGTAAATTAGTCATTAGATCCACATAGTCTCCTGCTTGCGTAGTTTTACTTTGACTAATGTCGCACTATTATCAACGGAGGACCAGACTTCAAATGTATGAAATTACTAAAGTTTAACATTTGGGGGCGGTGGTGGTGGTGGAATTGGGTTTAACGTCGTGCTTGAGAATATTTCGCTCATATGACGACGAGCATGCGTGTGTGTGTGTATGTGCGGCTGCTTGTACTAGCCCAGACTTCAGCTGGTTTTATAGTGCTGGCCCACTGAGATACCATGCCGCAGTGAAGCATGAATACTCAGACACATTATGTGAGACTGGGTTTAACGTTGTACTTGAGAATTTTCGCTATATGTGCGTGCATGCGTGTACACGTGTATGTGCGGCTGCTGGTTTTATAGTGCTAGCTCACTGAGATACCATGCCGCAGTGAAGCATGAATATCCCACTCAAACACATTATACTGACTCCGAGCCGACCAGTCCTTGTTGTACCCATTAATGCCGAGCGCCAGGCAGGGACCAACAAGTACCATATTTTAACGTCTTTTGGTATGACGCCTGTAAATAATCTGGACCAGACAGACCAGTGATCAACATCACGATCATCGATCAACGCAACAGGGATACGGTGACATGTGCCAATTAAGTCATCGAGCCTGACCATTCGATCCCGTTAGTCGCCTCTTTACGACAAACATGGGTTACTGAAGACCAATTCTAACCCGGATCTTCCAGGGAGCTGGTTAGACACTCAAAAACGTATCAAGTCAGTTGAATTTAAACATGCTATCACAAAAGAAATCCGTTATTATCCGAACATTTCAAAGCGCAGCTGAAGACACAGAATTTTCAAATGGTCAAGGTCATCGCCCAATAGTCCGCGCTGATCATCAATGCTATAAATTACATTTAAAACAATTCAGGAAGCCAGAAAAAGTACAACCTTTCATCTTAAGATATGCCCGCGTTTCGAAATACTCCTTTCAGCCTTTAGCCATTGTTCCTTTAAATCTAACACATCCGCACATGTCACGGACTAAGAAGAGCGTCGTGTGGTCTATTTTAGGATTACATTCCTATTAAATACAGAAAAACCGCATAGTGCTGTGAGCTCTGGTTGCTCTCCCAGTTACCAGAGCCCTGGCAATTCACTCTGATGCCTTCAAATTCAGTCTCTACTTTTTTCCGCTCATCTTTGATTCCTGGTCCGTTTTTGTGTCCTCTCCATTTAGAATCAACCATGTTATTCATAGCGTGGACTCAGGCTCGAGAAAAGCTAAAATTTCTGAACAAAATATTTCACTGAAATGAATATTTTCTTTCAGCAAATAAAAAAATTACCTCTTCATGATTTAGGGAGGTAATAATTAGTTTAAAACACAATATTCCATCGCGACTCGATCGCACTATACTCCTTCGCGAAATTGTGCAAGACTGACATTTTAAAAATCCGCTTTGTTAATGAACATTAAGATTTGGTTTATCGTTGCTATGATGGATTTTGAGTGATTTCAAAGGAATATAACCTCCCATCCTGAGTAAAAGATAGAAATATTTTATTAGCATTTTACAATGCAGTGCCCAGGAAGTGTGTTCCAGCTCATTTTCCGGAAAAAAAGAAATCTTGAATTTGTAATCTCTTATTGATTGTCAGGCCAAGGGTGGTCGCTCCTCGCACATCTTTCACGATCTTAGCGACATGTTAAGTGGTTCGTTCTTTCGGTAGTGCGAGTAACTGTACTGTTTATAAAATACCGGGACATGATGAAGTATCCAACATGTATTAACTGTTCTGTTATCAAATATATTTTGTTTGAACATGTCGGAACACACTAA